GGGGATGTGTGTGTCTTGAGACATGCACGCACACATCCACACGCGCGTGTAGTGTAGGAGGTGGTTGTTAGCCTACATGTGGCTGCCAAGCCAGGGGAGAGGGAATGGATGGGGGGAGTGGGATGCCTAAAGGGTAGAGGGCTGACAGGCCCCGCCCCGCCCCGCCTTGCCTGTCTGCGTACGCTTTTGCAGATCGCTTTGCCTTGCCTAATGAAATGCCCGTGAGGGCATTTTGCACGCTCGTGACTGACTGGATGTGGGCGCAGCGCTTGATGGCTGGGTCGATGGATGGTTGCTCGCAGTGATGTGAGGCGAAGTGAAGCACGGCGGAGTGAGCCCGAAAAACACCCGGTTGAGTGCTATGTAGATCTATCCTGGGGGGCGGGTTGCTGCTTAATCTGTCTCAGGATGGATGGATGGATGAGCGAATGCGTGATATAATGACTTGGTGACGTCTGCTTGCCCGTGATGCGCAGCCAGCCGATCGATACAGTCAGTCAGTCAGTGCCTAGCGAGACTTCTATCGCAGTGAGCACAATGAATTAGAGTCTGACCGAGGCACTCGCTCACACAATCCATTCGACGGCACCTCAAAAGCAACCAGACCGCCTCACGTGTGTGCAGCCACGGACAAGGCGAGTGGGTCTTTGTGAGATGAGTGTATGTGTGTGCGGGTTCACTGGCTGTCGATCGAAAAGAGACACGCAGGCGTGGATAGTGAAGTCCGTCCATCGCTCGCAACTCAGTCTGTCGTCTTTGTACATGGCTATGTCTAAAGCTGCCGTGGCGTCACCCTTGCACCTCTCTCAGTCAGCCCGACTTCACCTGAGGAGCACACACACAGCCATCCATCCATCCATCCGTCCGTCTATCATCCTGGTTGGGTTCTGTCTGATGCTCGCCCACACCATTCACGCCAGCCACCAACACACCCACCTGGTAGATAGCGATCTCCTTTGCGGTGAAGTGCCAGGCCGCCGCCAGTGTGCCCTGGTTCTCGTGGTTGAATTGGCCCAGGTAGCCGTTGTCGGGCAGGTCCGCCTCCTCCACAAAATGGCAGCAGCGCCGAATGTCATGTGACGGACGGGGAGTGCCGAAACAGAGCCACAAATACCCACGGCCCAAAGTCAGCTGCACACATGAGATGGCAGCCAGTCAATTAGTCAGTCTCATTGCAATGACACCAATTGTGTATACCCGCCACCCACCTTGCCGCGGTAGTCCATATTGGTGGCCTTGAGGGAGCCGTCACGGCCGGCGACCTCCACCCACTGCCGGTGCTTGGGGAGGGGCACCTTGGTGGGCTGGCCATATGCACCGCTGATGGAAATGAAGAAGGTCGGCGCGGGATAGTAGTTGGCCCGGGTGGGGTCGGCGGGCGACTTGAGTTGGTCCCCGACGAATGCTCCAAATCGGTGTGTGTCGTTGTGGTTGACGAGGAAGAGCAGACCGCTCGCGTCGCCCACCTTGTCGAGCAGCGTGCCGAAGTCACCACCGTCACGCGTCGAACTGACAGGAAGGGAAAAGCAAGACGTCATATCCTGGAGAGTCGCAACAGATCAGCTGCTCTGCTCACCTGTAGAGGAGTGTGGGTGTTGGGTTGGGTATGTCTATCATGGCCAGCACCTCCCGCGTCTCGTCAGTGTTGAGCATGGGTGAGAGAGGCCGCTGAAGATCCTCCATCTTGAGGCCATACATCTCTACATCTTTCTGTGCACACACACACACGCAGACAGACACACAGTGCACATGGCGGTTTGCACCCGTGCTCAAGGGACCTTCAACTGAGCGAGGTGCTTGGGCTTGGCCGTGGGCTTCTTGACCACACGACCCGACCGGGTCTCGAATCGCTGTCTACGGGCAAAATCCACCACCTTCACCACAGACAAAGGACATCGGAAAAGTGATACAGACGTGTCCTTTTCCCCTCTCTCTCTCTCTCTCTCTCTCGCGCGCGCGCGCGCGTGTGACTGTGTGTCACCTTCATGAAGTGCTCAACGGACGTCTGCCGAATGGGTGCATCCCCCTGCACCACCTCGCCACTGCACATCTCGCGCCCAAATGAAAAGGCAACACAATGCGTCCATCCAGCCGCAATGTGTGTGCGGTGGAGTGCCTTAAGCTGACCTGAATCGTCTGTAGAGGAGGCTGTTGGGTCCCAGCCGCGCTAGCGTCGCCTCGGTGGTCGACACCGTCTGCTGGGAGATGGTGACGCTCCTGACGGTGTGGTTGCTGCCGTCGTCTGCCCGGAGGAATGGCCCCATCGCCGCACCGAATCCCTCCAAATCCACCACCGCTTTCTCCAACGCCGTCGCCGCATCGGTGTAGCTCTTCACGTACTCACGCAGCCGACTGCCGCCATCCCCTGCCCCCTGCCCAATGGCATCTCCCTCCTCCTTATTGCCCTCCGCCACCCCTCCGTTGTCCATGTCGACGTCCGCCGGTCGCACGTTGATGTCGAGCGATGTCTTGGTGAGGAACAGCTCGTGGTAGCATGCGAAGGTGGGGTCGTTCTTCTGTGTGTCGTCCAACTCGATCTCATACTCCTCGCCCTGGGCGTCAGCACCCTCAACGAGATAAATCTCGTCTACCAACCTGAAGAGCACAAAGGAGAGCAAAGGGTACACAATGAGCGCAATCTAAACGGACGTGCATTCCTTCCCGCCTACCACTTGACGTAGCCGGGGTCAGCGTCCAGGAATGGCCGGCCCTCCTCATCGCGGGGCAGCGCGTCCACACAGTACAGCAGCAGATGGGCCAAGTAGGTGTGCCGGATCTGATCCAGCATCAGCCCCTTGCGCGACACACCCACCACCCGCCCGCCCACATTCAGAGCCACCTCCCCCTCGATGCTGCCCGTCAGCTCCAGCTTGCCTCCTGTGGCCTCGATGAGCTCTTTGATGGCCTCGGCTTTGCTCTGCAGCTGCTGGCGGGCACTCCTGGCCGCATTCTCGATGGCGAGGAGGACGGCGATGGTTTTGTGCAGCACCCTATCGAGCGACTGGCGACCGATATGGGGGGAGGGGGGCTGCTGGTCATCGTCATCTTGCTGCCCGGCAGCCGCCGCGGCAGCGTCGCCCTCTGCCTTGCGCTTCTTGGCGAGCATTTGCGATTATTCAATGCTGCATCCTGAAGCTACACGCATCGAGGAAAGGACTCCGCGATGAGTCCTGAGCTTCACAGAGAGCGGTTTCACGGAAAAACTAACTCGTCTCCACACCCACACCGCCGCCGTCCTCGTCAATGGTGTCGTCGACCCGCGGCATGCACGGCCTCGCCCGGCTCCCTGCAGAGCTGTGGACGCTCAACCTCTCAGGCACACTCACGGACAAGGTAAGCTACGCATTAGAAAGGCGCACACAGGCAAGGTCCGGCTCAGGCACACTCACAGACAAGGTATGCAGCAAACCGGCACACAGTGGCACTAATGCATCCCAATTCCGTGCATGTAGGAGACCATGCGGCTGTCTGTCCTGGACGAAAGCTGCTTCGAGGCCATCTGCTCGTCCACCCTCGTCATCGGACCAGACGTCCCTCGGCCTCGGCGAGCCCAGCTGTGCTCCAATGGCTCTCAGAAGATCATACTAGTGGTCGCCAAGGGAGGCTGCCGCCTCAAGAACGAGGCTCTGAAGTTCTTCGTCACTACTATGCAGCAGCAGGGCGACACCATCAAGGCCATCAAGTCGGTCCAGTGTGCATTTGAAGGTTACCGCCGGCCGGGGTGGGACCCCAAGTGTCTCCGGGGCGAAGCGCGGACGTTTCCGGCGCTCACCGACATCGACGTGGGGCTCATTCCTGTGCTGCAGATATTCCGGCACTTCAGCTGGAAGGCACCCGGCCTGAAGACCCTCACAGCCCGAGTGCGCAGCGACAGCCAGCCATTGCTAGATCTGACGGGACACCTCAATGCTGGCGGTTTCCAAGACGCGCTGAGCCAACTGTTGACCCATTCGCCCCTCATCCGCCACATTGACGTGTTCCCTCTGCCTACACACGTCTGCGGCACGGCACTCGACACACGTGGAGGCAGCCTGGAATCGGTGGGCGACATGGTCTTCCTCACGCACGATAAGGAGATGGACAGGCTTGTGCGGGGCCTGCCGCGCATCCAGGCGTCAGCGTCGAGGAAGCACATCGGCATGTTCGACCGCAACTTGGCCTTCGACTCGACCCTGCCGGCCTCATTCAGCCCGACCCGTCGTCGTCACACGAGCGGCATGGAGGCCGGACCCCTGCTCATGCAGCTGCTGGTCGAGCTGGAGAGCCGTGGTACGCACGAAGTATGGGGCACAAGAAGGCGGGCAATGCTGTGGATGGGACTGTGGTCTTGATGTCTTGATTTCAGGCTATTGCCCGGTGGCGAAAGGGGAAGGGTATTCTGTCGAGCTCAAGGGAGTCCCAGCACCAGCATCTCCTGACACGTGCCCACCAGAGGTGGAGGGTTCAATCCGTGACATCGTCAAGCGCGCATTAAAGCAGGCCATCACGGTGGAGATGAGCTATGACGAGGACTCGCAGCCCTGGGACGACTCCTGGGACCTCACCGACTCGTGTGGCCGACCGGTCGTGTTCGACAAGACCAAGTACCTCATCATCAAGTACGTCGATAATCTTCGTGGCTACGTCGGCCATGATGCGGTGAGTGAGTAAGGACGCCGGAATCAGTGGACGCACCCATGCATCTCTCTCCCTCTCCTTTGCTGTCCGTTCCGTCTCGTAGATTGCCGGTTGGACGGCGGGCGGCTGGACGAGTGTCGAGGAGCTCACCCTCGTGAAGGTCGAGCTGCAGAGCGTCAAGGATCACGTCTCTTTCCACGAGCATCAGTTTACGGCCGAGGGCATCTACGAGAAGCCCCTCCCTCCTCAGCTCCCCATGACGCAGCAGCAGGCGGCAGAGCAGGCGGCGGAGCAGGCGGCGGAGCAGGCGGTATACGCAATTACAGGTACATGGGTACCGGTGCGCCCTCCACTTCCCAGGAACGACTACGTGCTCTCGGACCCCCTGCAGCGGCTGCTCAAGACCATGCCACCCACACTCCACACCGTCCGACTCATCGACGTGCCCTGGTGGGTGGGTAGGTGGGTGGGCGCACACCTTGAGTCACCGTGAGACTTGCGTGGGTGTATGTGGTGCACTCATTCAGGTGGGCGGCCTTTGACGCGTTTGCGTGTCTGTTTGAGGGCACTGCGGCTCAGCCAGGGGAGGGAGGCACCAAGCGTGTGTGTCTGGACAAGCTGGAGGTGCGGACGGAAGTGCAGGACAGCCCCCTGGTGGTGCCTGAGAAGGGCGGCGCCTTGTGGAGTACCATTCAGGAGCGCCTCTCGGTCGGCCAGCTCACCATGCACGTCAAGACAGAGGTGCGCTGAATGCACCCCAGTCACATCTCTCTCACACACAATCATCTGCGCCTCCTGCCTGTTCAGTTCGACTATCCTTTGAAGGAAGACGTGCCTCGCTACTCGCCTGACCATTTCCGAGTGTACTACGACCTCATCCTCCTGCTGCAGCCCGACACCGTGGGGCTCACCGTCAATACTCTGCTGCGACGTGAGCATCCACAACACACACGTGAACATTGCTGGAACATGCTCTATGTGGTCCACAGGAGCTCCTCTTGAACACGTCTTCGACTGGTCGGATGATGGATCTGACATCGAGCCTGACGAGGCCAAGTATCCCTACCTGAAGGGATTCACCGGCGACATCCGCACGAGGTATCGCATGTGCCACTGCGGGGCCAGAGGCGACTACCCAGGCCACATGAACTGGACGGACAGCCGGATGGATGTGGTGCTCAAGAGGCGCAAGCTGGGTGACCTCAGCGGCCTGGGGGCCAACAAGTGTGCCATGCAGTAGCTCAAGTGATTGCAGTGAAGGGCTTATGAGGTTGCGTGTTTTATGCGTGTGTGCAGACTTGTGCATATGATGTGTTGTGTGTGACGGCTGTACTTCATCCGTTCAAGCATCGTTGCTGCACCGCGTGTCCTCGAGGTGATGCACACAGCCCTCATTGCATGATCAACCAGCATAACTTCAGAAAGTCATCCATGTCAAAACCCGCCTCCATCGACCATGCATTCAGTGAGTCAGTGAGTCGAGTGCATCAGCAAACAAACAGACCATGATGCTTCCGACCCCACACCCCAAAAACGCCCCCAAACCCCCGGCTATTGCACTTGATAAGTTGTGAGAGCTCTCTTTTCATCTAGGTGTGCCTCTCTCCCTGATCAGTCTTCCTTGGCTGCCTTGTCTTTGAATGTGTAATGCCCCTCCTCCATCGCACGGCGGTGGGCTATCGCCGCCTGCTTGGCGCCCTCATAGCCCAGCTGACGCACAGAGAACGGCTTGGTCTTCTCTTTGCCGCCCTCGCGCCAGCTGGCCATCCATGAGTTGCTGGCCTTGTGATAGTAGACGCCCTTGACGCCGCTCTGGTGCTCCGATCGCTTCCTCACCGCCGCCTGACCGGTGCGCTCCAGCTCACGACGATGCTCCTCGGCCAACGCCTGAGAGACGGAGGCACACATATGGGACACTCAAGACAGACAGAGGGAAGAGGCGGCTTCATGCGCACCTTGGCTCTGTCGTAGCCATGGTCCCTGACATAGAAGAGCTTCTGCTTCAGCTTCCGGTCGCCCTTCTCGTACCATTGTGCCTTCCAGGCCTGATGACTCTCTTGCCACGTCACCCCCGTCACATCCGACTGGTGCTCTGCAGTTAGCGGGACACATCAAGGTGAGTGATGGTGTTTAATTCGCCTTTTGGTTTTCTCACCCGATTTGGTGATGATGGTCTTGCTCTTGGTGCTGGCCTTCTTGTCTGTGTCGGCGGCCCACTCGGGATTGGACGCATAGATGGACGACGGCACATCACCGGCAGGCGCCGACACACCATCCCTCTTGGCTGCCTTGGGCCTCCGTCGTGGCTGGGGAGATGATGAGCTGCTGCCATCGTCACCGTCGTCACAGCTGTCAGACTGACGGCTCGCCCGAGCCGCGCTGTTCCTCTGCCGGCCATCCCGGCCCCTTGTTGCGTCGCCTTCATCGCCTTCTCGAGGCCCAGGGGGGCGGGCCGGGAGGTGAGGAAAGATGGACCGGGGAGGGCGGGAGGGGGGAGAGGGGTCGAGGGGCGGGTCGTCACTGGGTCTCTTGGTGCGTTTGCGACGCTGCGGGGGTGGGCTGGAGTCGAATTGCCCCTCAAGCATCCCGCCGTCCATCTGTCCCTGCCCCTGCTGTGCCTGCTGCAGCCACGACAGATCGATGGCCATCGCCCGATCGCCCACACGCGACCGGTGCAGGGCATTCCGGTACTCGACAGCCTCACGGAAGGCCGTGAAGATGGCCGCTCGAGAGGCGCCATAGCCGACAGGGAATTGACGCAGGCCGACAGTCGTCGATGCGTCGTTGTCCCAAAAGTAGGCCTCGCAAGTGTAGTTGGTCCGCCAAGTAATGCCGATCCTGACACACACACACACACACACACAGATGCCACTGTCAACATGAGAGCGTCCATCATGCCCCTTGTCATGCTCACTCGCCTCTGTCTGGCGCATGGAAGTCGTTCGGCTGCTCCTCCCGCATCCGCCGCATCAACATCCGAGCCAGCTCGTCGCCACATAACCCATCGAGACTCGTCAGCTCCCGATGCGCGCCATGGTGCCCCGGACGCCGATTGGCGAGGCCTCGGCCGTGTGGGCCGCGCTGGCGCTTGAGGGGGCGGCTTTTGTTGAGGGAGCCATCACGTCCATCACCATCGCCGTCGAGGGAGGGGAGAGGGGATGGGTCGCGGGAGAGGGGCCGCTTGCGACGGTCGCCGGGGCCTGCAAGGGGACACATTAGCAGGCAAGATGAGAGCTAGTCGTACATTGGCCCTGTCTGTGTCATTGATCTCACCTCTGTCGTGACATGGGCTGGCCGTCTTCTTGTGTTTGGGAGGCCGCGACACCGCTGGCTTCTTCCGACGCTGCGGAGCCCTCCACTGCACCACTTGCCTCTCCTCGCCAGCCACCACAGCAGTGACGATCTCGAAGCGCTCGTCGGTGTCCACCGATCCCGCCCGCACCACCGCCAGCATGTCCGTCAGTCGCCACAGCTCCCACCCAGTGGCAGTCCCGTTGGAGTCGCGATACACCGCCGCCCGCACACACAGGGGCTGGTCGGCATCGCTGTCAGATGGCCAGCCGGTGACCAGAAAGTGCCGCCCGTCCGCCATCTTCTCGGCGCTGAACTGCATGCCCTCGTAGGCCGCCGAGTACGCCTTGTGACCGGGGTCCTGCTTGTGGCGTATCGTCCTCAGGAGCTGCCCAACGGTGTTCCTCTCGTCACCTGGACCACCCACCGCAGCTGCGGCCGGGGAGGGATGGTTGGATGGACCAGCGGCCGGTGGGGGCGAGGGAGATGGCGTGTCGATCGCCCTCTTCTTGGCGGCACGTGAGGGGGCCCTGTTGCGTACTGACCGACCGCTGCCGGACGGTTGCGGCTTTGTGTGGTTGGCTGACCCGATGTCCTCGTAGCTTGGGTGTGCGGGAGGTGGGGGTGGGGGAGAGGGCGACATCGGACCTACACCGACACACGCAACAGAGATGGCAGATATGGGAACTGACAGGCTGTTTGGCCTTCCTCTCCCCTCCCTCTCCCTCTCACCTGCTGCGTTGCCCTTGGGCGCATCTACAGTCGGCTTCATCATGAGGTACCGCCGGGCCCTGTGGTGGCTCGTCCTCACCTCAAAGGGCTCGTCCGCCGCTATCGGGCCCCCCCTCTTGACCCGCTCCAGCACCTGCGTCACGTCGCCCAGCAGCCAGCCCTTCTTCGAGTCGCGAGTCACGCCCCACTCGTCGGCGAACAGCTCCCCCTGGCTGTCGTAGAAGGGCCCTGCGAGCACCTCATACGCGCCGCCCTTTGCGCCATCGACGCGACGCACAGAGGACTGCACTTCTTGATAGGCCGGATGGTAGCCGGTCGTCCTGGTGGGGTCGCCTCGCTTGTACAGCACCTGCCGCAGTTGCTCCAGAAGGCCGTCTTGCTGGGAGGGAGGGCCGTTCGGGTGAGCTGGGGAGGGGGAGGGGTATGTGGCGGCCGCTGACATTGCCTGTGGATAGGGCATGGTGGGGGTCGAAGCGGCAGCCGATGGGCCTCCAGCTGCAGTTCCATCACAAGCCCCACGGTGGCCCTCCGCCCCGCCTGCCGCACTGTCCTGGCGCACGCCACCAGGAGAGTGGCCCTCCTGCTCGATGTCCATCGCCGCTACTGAGGCTGCTGCAGATGGCTGATGGGCCGCTGTGGGATTCTGCATGGCTGGAACGACGCAGGCAGCCGCAGCCCGGGATGAAGACGAAGCAGCAGCATCAGCCGATGACGCTGGCCTCCCGAGATGGGCGGCTTGGGTCGCCATCGTCACTCTCGTTGCTGCTGCGCTGTTGGCTGTGTCATCGACTGTCGTGCGTCGTCCCTCAAAACCGGATGACGCCCTGCGAACGTCAAGCGGTCATAGTGATTGAACTCGGTGGGCTGAGAACCACGATGAGCAAGTCTGCTCAGCAGAGATCTGCCGCCAAGGGCATCGTTCCGCTACGAAATCGAGGGAAATGGTGGCCAAAGATCCATGCGAGCTTAAAAGCGACGACTTCCAAAGCGTTCCTCGCTAGCCGCCCGTGATCTCGTCATATTGCCTGAAGACGCTCCATCCCATCCTCCCCATCGCCATGTCATCATCAAACGGGCATTTCCTCCACCCCTCATCTGCAGCATCGACGGCCTCTCAAGATCACCATGACCACTACCAGCTACACATGGAGGAGCTGGATCACGACCACGACCACATGGCCCACTCACCGGGATGGAGTCGGGGATCTGGCCTGGGTGGCGGTATCGTGCGCAAGGTCTCGTCGGGGCTGGACCAAGTATGTCAGTGATGCGACAGATGAGAGTGCTAGCTATGAGCCTGATGTACTGTTTTGTGTGACGCATGCATGCATTCAGGCGTTTGAGTTCCGCGGCGCATCTCCTGTGTGGTCGCCGCCTGTCATGGCCCACCCAGAGGCAACCTTCTTCGCCTTCTCACCCATACAGGTGAGTCGCAGCACTTTGTCCACGCCCACGAGACAGACAGACAGATGCTTCTGTATCGTCTCGTCTCTATGTATGTTGCAGACCGAGCGTCAGCGGCGCCAGGGCATCGATAGGATCCGGTCGATGGCTTCAGGTGACTTGGGAATGGTGTCGACGCCTCTCACGACAGTGCTTGAGGGCGAGGAGGCAAAGCGGCAGGAGCTGGTAGGGCGGCAGACGGGCGTGGAAGCACCGGAAGGGCGACCCGTCACGGCTGTCGAAGCGGCCTTCTCGGTCGGTGGGATGGGGCGATGGGAAGGAAGAAGGCATTTGAATGTTGCTGGCTGGTTCATGTGTTGCCTTATGTGTGTGTGTGCAGATCACCAACACGGTGATAGGCGCAGGCATCCTGTCGCTGCCTTACGCCTTTGCCGTGAGCGGTTTCATATCGGCCCCCATTTGCCTGGTCCTGACGTTCGTCTACTTCTACACGGCCACGCTCATCGGGAAGGCCATGGAGCTGGCACAACCCATCGCCAAACTCCACAAGATACCCAAAATGGCCCAGGACTGGTACTGCCAGCACAACGCACACAAGGCATCCCATCCATCCATCCATACATTGCGATGGTGTCATCCCTCCCGTTGTGTTGGTGTGCGTGAACGCACTCAGGCCGTTTCTGGGCATGGCTGCGTTCGGTGACATGGGCCAGCGACTCGTTTCCATCTTCCTCAGTGGCGAGCTCTATGCCATCCTGGTGTCCTACCTGGTGGTGGTGGGCAGCAACCTGGTGGTGCTCTTCCCCTCCATCAGCAAGAGCGAGGCCATCATCGGCGCCACCGCATTGGTTTTTTTCCTGATGCTCGTGCCCCACTGGCTCCTGGCCTACGTCTCGCTCATCGCCAACCTGTCGACCATCATCTGTGTGCTGGCCTTCATCTACACGGGACTCTATCTGCCACACACAGCCCCATCCAGCGACTGGGTCTTCGTCGCGCCTCTCGGCCTCCCTATCATGATTGGCATCGTCAACTTCTGCTTTGTGGCCCACAGTGTGTTCCCGACCATCTACCAGAGCATGGGCAAACCCTCGCAGTACAAGTGGTCGGCCTTGGCGTCCTTCATCGTCGCCCTCGTCACGTATGCCGGCACGGGTGCGTTCGGCTACCTGGTCTTCGGCGCTGCCTGCCAGGAGCAATTCACCCAGGTGACAATGGCACGCCAAAGACGAGCAGACAGACAGTGTCTGTTGTCACACGCGTGTGCGTGTGTGTGCGTTTTGTTGGTTGGTTGATGTTGTTCTATCTACCAGAATCTTGGTGTTGACCTGGAAGGCCGCCCGATCCCCGGCCTGGCTTACCTGCCGATGATATCGACCCTCTGCATGTGCATCAAGCTGGAGGGCAGCTTCCCCATGTTCGCCGCACCACTCATCATCGCACTCGAGAACGTAATGGGACTCTCTCCTGACATGCCCGCATTCGACGCCTCGAGTCCCAAATACATCGCTTCCCCGACTCTGCTATCGCCCTCGCCGCGCATCGTGAGCCCCGCCCTGCGGCGAATGGCGAGCATGCAGCAGCGGGACGTCAAGGGGAGGGGGATCTATCGGTTCCTGCTGCGTGTGGGGTTTCTGGCGGTGACGGGCATCGTGTCGCTGGTGTTCCAGTCGTCGGCTGCGGGCATCCAGGGGCTGACGGGCTCGCTCTTCTCGCCCTGCACGTGCGTCATCTTCCCGGCGCTGTTCTTCTGGCGGATCGCGCACCAGCAGGGCGTCAAGCTGCCGTGGTGGCAGCAGGCATTCCTGGCCCTGTTGCTGCTGTTTGGTTTTTCGTGCCAGATCTTCGGCACCACTTTTTGTGTCTTGAGCATGCTGGGGGTCGTCAAGGGCGCTGCATTTTGAAGCGATTGACCCGACATGCATACATACATACATACAGACGTACGTACATACGTACCGGCTGCTTGCTGTGAGTCTATTTTTGTGCAAGAGCGACTGGGTGTTGATGTGAGCATTCGGAGTGAGAGAGTGTTGGCGTCTGTGTTCCCGGCCATTGGCACGCACCACCTGCACTGCACTTTTTTCGCAGACTGCGGGGTGGGTGCTCAATGAGTGAGACAACGAGTGTGACAATGAGGCCTTGTGTGCGCTAGGATCTGCCGGCAGCCAGGGCGGATTGTATGCATTGTGTGTGTGTCTGTGCGTGTGAGCGAGTCTTCGTATCGCTGCTTCGTGTTCTGTGTTTGAGCTAGCTAGGGGAGCCTTTTTGATCACCCTAAGACATTGATTGGCATATGCTATGCACGGGCCTTCGCCCTTTTATCGACCACGTACGGCTGTGGGCGCACACCGTGCTGGATTGCATCGTTGTGCGGATCTTTGTCTGCGGCTGCCTTTGCTATCGGCGCAATATATGTATGTCGATGCAATGGCCCGTGTGGGTCAAGGCACCATGGGGTATTTGCCTCCGGACGCGTCATCGGATGTCATCAGTGGGCTCTGCTGCCCTCACTGATCTCATTTGACGGCCGTCGTGGTGGCGAAACTCACGGCGATTTGGCCATCCCCTGGAATTGCGTGATCTACAGCTCCGTGTCCCGGTCAAACCCTCTCCCCCTGTGTGTGTGGTGGATGGCGTCTCCCTTTGGCTGAATGGCTTGTGAAAAGGAGTGCAAGATCACAGACATGGCATGTAAAAAAAATGGCCATTGAACAAAGGGAAAGCTATCATGGTAGAGACGATGCCTAGCCATAGCACACAGGACTCAGTCTGCTTTTCTTTCACCCACCACAGATACAAGACACACCGACAGGCAGAGACATGATGGATGCCATGGATAAAGACACCATAAACAGGAAGCCATGGGAGCCACTGCTGATTCAAGCAGATCACAATGCGTCAGGTACGTTAACGGCAAGCACCACTGTAAAAGCAAAACACAAGAGGCAGCGATTTGCGCAGCCTGCCTGTCTGGCTGCCTGCCACTCAAATCTGTCTATGTGTGCATCTCACGTCATCCCCAGCCGTCTGAATGTCTCCCTCCCGTCCCGCCCCCTCTCGATCCACCCCACCGCCCCCCACTCGACGGCAGGCACATCCTTGCTGAAGCCGTTGTCGATGTCCCCCACCAGCCCCCACTTGGCCGCCTCGTCCAGGATGGCCCGCTGCACCACCTCACGCAACTCCA